TTGTGTTTGTGTCGCAAGTTCAGTGACGCAGGTAGTGACAATTCTCTCCGGCCAGTCCGTGATCAGCAGAGTTTACACGTCACGTTTTGGTAACGGTACGGTTCACTTGGAACCCCAACCGAGGTGGTACTAAAAAAAGTACCAGGTACCAGGTACTGTACTCAGTGGAAAACCCCTCAAAAGTGAACCGTACCGTGCCGTACCATGCAGTGGAAAAGTGGCCTTAGATTACATGTGGAAGCATCTGTTGTTTCGGTTTCTTCTTCACTTGTGTTTTTTGGAAATTCTGTAGAGAAAATGTGTACTAGCGCCCCTTAAAGTATAACAATGAAAGCATGGATTCTAGGAACACAAGTATAGCTCAAATATATTTAGACTTTTTCTAAGTAGGCTATAAGTCAAGTATACTTAAATGTCATTTTAAGTATCTTTCTGAGAAGTACATAAAGCCCATTTCTGAGAAGTACATAAAAAGTAGACTAAAAGTATACTTTCCTATTTTTTAGTTTAAAAGAAGTATACTCATAGCACACTTGAATAAACTTATTTTTTGTAAGGGTACGCAACATGCGTACTTTGCGTATAGGGAGGATCGGCTCTGCAATGTAGTGTTAGAATGTTACATGCTTTTTTCACAGAAACAGAGCATTGCGTAAACGTTTCAGCATTCGAAGGGAAACATATCAAATGGTGATTGGAAATGTGTGAATTGCATTGAAGAGACTGAAAAGTCTGAAAAGCCCATTCAGGAAAAATACTTGTTAGTATTGTCAGCAATAGCTATGAGGAAGCACAATGGCAGAGCAGTTATGTAAACAGGTTGAGTGCTACGTTGATCCAGTCAGTGACACTGACACTGCAAATATGCAGATAAGAATGTTAACCCTGGGTTAAGGAACATACAGTGTGAAATGGATTAATTGTTAACCCCAGCTAAATTATGAGCAGTGTGAAATTTTAATAAAGATAACCCATGATTCCATTTACCCAGGTTCAGAATGAACCAGGTTTAACTATTTCAAGTGTGAAAATTATATTGTTGCTTTGTTAGAGGGCTCAGGGTAGTTGGAAAACACATGCAACCAGAACATCTTGTTAGTTTTAATGCAGTTAGGGTCATACTCCTCTTTTTAGAGTATTCATCAATGCATTTTGGAATAGGCAGATAAATGACTGTCTGCAATTATTAGAAATGATTTACTTAATACAGTTAGAAATAATCAAGGTATCACACTTTACTATAATAAATATATTGTATTAGTTTTGAGATTTCAAACATATTTGAGGGAAGAAAACACATAAGAATGTCTAAATAGACTACAGTATCTTTCTCCCAGTAACATGCAGTCTTCCTCAACTAACAATATGCAAGCTAAATATATAGCCCTATTATATAGCCCTCCAATTGATTTAGTTAAAATCAATTAAATCTGTGCTACCTAATAGAGCAGAACTGCTCGAAACTCACCAGTGGTTTCAGAAGCACTCAACAGTCATCACTGTCCATATCCAAACCAGACTAATCATCTGCTTTTTCCACCCAAGTGATCATGCAAAGTGCCACTATAAACATTCAAGGTCTGTCAGGGGAGACAACATAGACACTGGACAAACACTTAAGCAAGGATTCAGTCATCATGCATCACTGTGTATTGTGAATCATGACATGTATTATGATTTGTGCCATACATTGTATCATATGTAAAACATGATTGCATGAATCATGAAATTTATAAGCTGATTACAGAGTTCCAATTTCCATTCCATTCAATAAAATCTGAAATAAACAAAATCTTAATATGTTCTGGTAACACATTTTGTCATTTTTATTTAGAAAGGTGTAGGTGTCACCAGAAACCAGAAGCTGAATTTGGTGCTGTGTGGAAGTGATGGAATACTGAAAGCCTCTGTATCCAAACTTATAAGAGGGAAAGAGAAGTGTCATCCTCCCTCATACCAAAGAATGAGAGATGAAGAGTATTTAAGATCAGACATGGAGCTTCATGGACGTCTGATCAGTCTGCTGGAGCTTCCAGCTCTGACTCGGCTCTCAGAGGAGGAAGTGATGTGTCAGACTCTCCGGTGTGTGTCTCTCTGTCATCCTGGCGTTCATGTTTTCCTCATCATTATTCCTGATGCTCCACTGACTGATGAAGACAAAGCAGAAATGGAGGAGATCCAGAGGATCTTCAGCTCAAGAATCAACAAACACATCATGGTCATCAGAATCCAAGACAAGAACATAATTAGCCGGATTAATATAATTCCTTCTTTAGCTACTGAGACATGTATTCATGTATTTGGAGGTAGTCAGTCTGTTCTGGAGAACAGCTCACAGTTTCCAGCTCTACTGCACAATGTGGAGAACATGGTAAAACTGAACGATGGAAGTTTCTACACAACCTTCATGTGCCTTCAGGCTCGAGTAGAACTGGAGATAAACAAACACAGAGCTGAAATAGAGAAACTGAGAAGATCTATGATGAAAAGAGCAGGTTTGTGTTCAGAAGAGTCCTATGTATAAACTGTCATTATAGCAATTTCTGTCAAGGATCTTCTCTGACAGTCTTGTCTGTCCTGTCTTTCTTCAGTGTTTCCTTGTTTGTGTTGTGTTTGAGCACATGGCTCTGTCTTTGTTTGTGTTAGCCATGTGCTCCTCTCCTCCTGCCACCCTGTTACTCGTTACCACGCCCCCTCTTGTTTAGTCCGCGTTTGTCTGAGTGTTAGCACCTGTCTCTTATGTGGTTTGCTGCCTTCATATTGTGCTCTCTGTCCCTCATGTTTTGCCAGTTTGTTAACCTTTATCCTTGTGTGTGGCTCCTGTGTAGTAACCTTATACAGAGTTCTATCTAGTGCTTCTCTTGTCACTGCTTATCTGTTCTTTATTAGAAATTACTTGTTCTTATTTGTTAATCCTAGTCTTGTCTTGTTTAGCTATCTGTTCTAGAGTGTCTAAGCTATTTCGTTTTTTTTTTCCCCATTGTATTTTCAGTTAACTTATTAAGTTCTTGGTTTTCATTTGTGTTTAGTTTTTCCTTTTCTTATTTTAGTAATTTTCCTTAGCATTTACTTTCTCTTGTTCTTCTAGTTTAGTCCTAGAATTAGTCCTTTTCTTTTTATTAGTCAACTAGCTTCTGTTCTCTATTTGTTAGCTTTTACTTTATTCATTATTTCTCTAGGAATAGTTTTGCTTTATATTAGTTCTGCCATCTGTTTTGTCATGTTTTTGCTGTGTCTCTTGTCTTGTCCTGTCCTGCAGGCTGAGCTTCCCTGGATGCTTACAGTAGCTGGACCTGTGCAGTGCCTGTGTGACCACGTGTGTGCAGGCTCTTATGCTTTGTGTTCCTGTCAGGCCATCGCTGCTATCCTCTAGTCTCGCTCTGCCCTGTCCTTACTGCTCTTTGGCCAACTGTCTATCTCGGGCTGGGTTCTGCGGCCATTACCTCAGTCTGCCAGTCTTCGCGCATCACCGCGGTCTGCCAGTCTTCGCGCATCACCTTGGTCTTCCAGTCTTCGCGCATCACCGCGGTCTGTCAGTCTTTGCGCATCACCTCGATCTGCCAGTCTTCATGCATCACCTCGGTCTGCCAGTCTTTGCGCATCACCGCGGTCTGCCAGTCGTCGCGCATCACCTCGGT